TGAACTCAGGTCTTCCTGACTCCAGGTCCCAAACTCTAGCCACTACACCACCTAGCTGCTCTAGGAAATGTTAGAATACAACAAAAATGGTGGGGTTTTAGGCAAACTCCATTCCCATTGAGGAAATGAAGAGGAGATATCCTTAAGCTCTTCCTCTTCGTGGGCTCTTTCACATCTCATTCTCAGGGCTCCTCATTCTTAAACAAGCCTTCTTTATTTCATTCAGTATTACCCCATTTATTTCTTCCCTTTCATTGTTAAACATAAACCTTGGGGGGTGAATGACAATTCCAACCTAGAATTTACTGCAAAGGAAAGGAAAGCTGGACATATGACTTGTACCTTAGACTTTGTTTCTCCCAGTATAGCTCAAGTCCCCTAAGTACAAGGACCTTTTGCTCCCCAGTGCCTAGCATAATGCCTGGAGGGGGGAAAAGCCATATGATATTGCCTATCTAAAATATGGCTCCAAATACAGTGGTAATGAATTCCACTGGGATTTTTAAAAAATCACCTTCACAAGTACAAGATGGGCTGGATATAGCTAACTAGTATTTTGTCTGGAAAAGATCTAAGGATTTAGTGGACCACAAGCTGAATATCAATAACAATGAACGGCGGGATATAGAAACACAGAAATCTATATGATCAGAGATTAGAGCTAGGAAACATTCTATTATAATTATTATTGTTATTATTCATAGATGGGGAAGCAGAAACTTAGAGTGGTTAACTCAACGATGGTCACAGAGCTAGCGAGTGAGTGGTCAACCTTGGATTCAATCCTAGGTGTCCTGTCCCAGTCCCCAGCTTCTCCCCCTATACTTAGGCTACCTGCCTCACATTACACATTACAACACATTACAACCCTTTAATTATCAGCTAATGAGTTAAGTAGCTAAGCGTACTTTGATCTGGCTGGAGTAGGGAAGACCTGAATTTGAATCCGGACTCAGACACAGATCATCTGTGCGACTTTGGGCAAGTCACAACCTCTGTTTGCTCAGTTTCGGCACCCAACCACCAGGGTTGTTTTGAGAATTAAAGGAGATAATATTTGGAAAGTGCTTAGCACAGTACCTGGCATATAGTAGGCACTTAATAAATACTTGCTTCATTACTTCTCAGGCAAGTGGACCCAAAGAATGGTGAAAAATGCATCAAAACACAGATCTAGTCAAACTAGATGTTTTTAGCTGACCAGTCATGGTGTCAAGGTCAAACAGAAAGAGGGGCCACTAATCCAAACACAGGGATATCCATGAATTGCACTTTGACTTAGTTTCCAAATGTGATGTTACCTATTTAGTCTCGTAAAATATTTCACCAATTACATTTTCATCTGAGTTGGGCTGCACTCAGGATTGTTGTAGGCCCCATGTTTGACACCTCTGGCTCAAGAATCTTTTTTTTTTCTTTTTTGGCTGAGGCAACTGGGGTTAAATGACTTTTCCAGGGTCATGCAGCTAGTAAGTGTCAAGTGTCTGAGGCTGGATTTGAACTCAGGTCCTCCTGACTCCAGGGCCGGAGCTCTATCCACTACACCACCTAGCTGCCCCAACAATACACTTTTAAAGGAGGCTTTTATAAGCAGAACCAGATCAATAAAATAATGACTATGACAATGGAAACAAAAATAAAATTACCAAAAGAAATACAAGCTCTAATTAACGAAGGAACTAATAACAATGGTCCCAGAGGACCGATAATGAAAGCTATCCCCTGCCCCTTAGAAGCAGGGAGTTGGGGGATGACCATGACAGACCCTCTCATTTTACAGACAGGAAAACTGAAGTCTAGAAAGATCAAGTCATTTGCCTGTGATTACTCAGGTAGTAAGTACCAGAGCTGGGATCTGAACCCAGGACTTCCCATTTCCTATCCAATACTCTTTCTACCACAATGGGTGGGTCAATACCAACATGGAGTGAGATCTTTAGTTGAGTGACCCAAGGATTCATAGTAGGTGCTTAATAAATGCTAGCTGACTGACCATTCCAATCAACATTTCTTTTGCTTACCAATGAATGGAATGAAGACACAAATGGAATTTTAAAATATTTGCGTATTGTTGTCATTGCTGTTTGTCCTTCCTTCTCCAAGAGGACCATGACATCAGAAAGGTGACGCCATGACCTGCAACGGAACTGGATTTAAGTGAGGGAGGGCTGTGCAAAGCCATCAGCCTCGCTTTCTCCTCTGGAGCCATCTGGGTCCAGTGGCAAGAATATATCAGGACAACTGGAGATGGCCCCCACTAGACAATCTGCCCTCAAAGATGCTTATCATTTAATGGAGGAGGCAACATGCAAACAAACATATCTACAGCATGCTAGATATATGATATTTGCAGATTACAAAGAACTGGGAAAAGTAGCTAACACAACAGATGACCAAATCTAGATCTCAAAAGATCTCAGTGATGTATCAATCCAATAAGATAACAGGGATTAGTGTAAAGTCATCCACTTATCCTCAAGAACAGGACAAGGGAGGCATGGAGAAAGAGCAGTTCACGTGGAGAAGGCCTTCAGGGTTATGGTGCTGTGGTACTCTGCCTTGGGCAGATCATGTGTGTGGGTAACTTCCTGTATTCAGTTCTGGGCACCCCATTTGAGGAAGGACATTGAAAAACTGTTGTGAATACACAAAGGAGGGCTATGAGTCTAACAGGGGCCCATCTCCAATTATCCTGATCTATATCTGGCCACTAGACCCAGATGGCCCCAGAGGAGAAAGTGAGGCTGGTGACTTTTTCACAGCCTTCCCTCACTTAAATCCAATTCACCTGCAAGTCATGGCATCACCTTCCTGACATCCTGGTTCTCTTCAAGAATGAAGGACAAACAAAAAGTCTGACAAGCAGCCCATGCCGTACAAGGATGGGTTGAAGAAATGGAGAATGTCCAGGCCTGAGAAGACAAAACTTAGAGAAGAAATGATAGCTGTCTTCAAGAATGTGAAGAACTTTCCCATGGCAGAGGGATTAGAGTTCTGCTTTTTTATTTTTAAACAGTAAAAGATTTGGAGCCATGCGGAGAAATTATAGAGAGGCAGCAAGTGTCCAGTATAAGGTAAACAACTTCCTAATAATTAAAGTAGCCCAACATTGGAATGGGTGACCTCAGAAGGCAGTGAATTCCTTACCCATGAGAAACGTTAAGTCAATGTACATGGCCACTTGTCCTATTGAGGGGGTGTGTGTGTGTGTGTGTGTGTGTGTGTGTGTGTGTGTGTATGACTTTGGAAATCCCATCCAATTCTGAGTTTGTGAATAGGGTTGTAGTTCAGGCTGTCTCCTGATGGATTAATGGACCTCCTGAAATGGTGGCTGTCCTTCATTCTCAAAGTGGACCAAAATGACATCACTGTGTCAGGGTCAAGGCACAGTGTGTCCATCTACGGCTGATCAGACCAATGACAGCTTGGAAGACGCTACCACAGGTCAGGTCCAAACAGTCCATGTGAACATTTGGGGTAGAGAGGTTTCTAAATCTGTGCATCTCCCGCTTCTTTTCAGCTCTATCCTCCCAACCCCTTTTCCTCCCCCCCCCACTCTACAATACCACAGCACCTCATAAATGACGAAATTGTTCCTACCTCGATAACTTTTTGTTCCTCCACCACACCCAGACTGCAAAGTCCATTCACTTTCCCCCCTCCCACTCCCCCAAACATACAAGTTTCCATTTGGTTTCTTTTGTGACAAATCATTGACTGACTAAAATAAGAACAAGTCTGAGAAAAAAACATGTTATGTCTTTGCTTCCTGGTTTTATAACTGCTATTAAACATATGGCCTGACTAAAAAGTCTCAAAATCTATTTTTCTCTTTAGGGAACTCATTATTTTGTCATTTTGTTTAACTCAAAACAGAAGAACTTGACATTTGCTGTCTTTAAACTTGACAATTTTTTTAATTTAATTTTTTTAAACTTAAGAATTAACTTTAATTTTTAATTTTGAAGATTAAAAAAAATTAAATTTAGATTATTGCATTTGAATTTAATTTTTAAAAATTTTTTAATTAAAATTTTTAAATTCAAAAATTAACAAAAACTTACTGATGCCTTCTGTTTTTTACATCATGGTCATTTCTGGTTATAGTCACCTCCACCCTCAATTCCCAGAGGTGAATCCTCCCATGCAACAACAAAAAATAGTTTTAAGTAAAAACAAACTACACAGTGACTAATGTGTACAATATCAGTGTATGACACATACAACATTGTGCCCTGGTAGTCCCCCACCTTCCTGCCTTTAAGAGGCTGGAGATCAGTTTCACTATTAGTTCTTCTCAGAGTGTCTTTTTTCTGGTAATTTCATTTTTGTTTATATTGTTATAGTCATTATATTATTGATCTGGTTCTGCTTATTACTGCCTCCTTTAAAAGTGTATTGCTGGGGTAGCTAAGTGGCACAGTGGATAGAGCACTGGCCCTGGAGTCAGGAGGACCTGAGTTCAAATTAAGTTTTAGACACTTACTAGTTATGTGACCCTGGGTAAGTCACTTAACCCCAACTGCCTAAAAAAAAAAGTGTATTGTTGCTGTTTTTGGTTTTCCCAGATTAAGGAATTCACTACCTCCTGAGGTAACCCATTCCAGTGTCGGATTATTCTAATTATTAGAAAGTTGCTCCTTATATTGCACCCACAGCTGCCTCTCTATGAGCATTTCGCTCAAATGATTCTTGAGCAAAGTTCACCTGTTTAAGCATACCTATTTGCAACTGGGCAAGTTTCTGCATATGAACTGCAGAGGCTTAAGGCTCACAGATTTGGAGCTCAAAGGGATGAGTCTAGTCCAATCCATTCCCTTTTCAGATGAGGATCCTACAGCCCAGAGAGGTTAAATCACTTGTCCAAGGTCACACAGGCAGGATGCTGATGAACCAGGCTTTGACCCTGGCTCACAGAATCAAGTCCTGCGACTCTAATCGCAGCACTCTTTCCACTGCACTCCACTGCCTCCTGTAGTCAATTTCATACGAATACTCACTCTCTGGGACACAGGTCTTGAGAAAAAGTGAAGATTCATTGGTAGATACAGGGTTCCGTGTAACGCAAGAGATTGTTTGTTGGAAATCTTCAGCATTCCTCAGCAGCACCTTTGATGGTGACATAATCACATACGATCCAGGAAACAGCCATTCGTAATTTAGAAAGCGACTGTCTTCTGACCCATTACATGAAACTGTAATGTTTTCACCATCAAAAGAACAGTAGAGATCAGGTTGTAGAAGTTTCTCTAGAGAGAAAAAAAAATCAAGCAAGTTACGTATCACAACAGAAACTGGTTTGTGCTCCAAGTACATTTAAAACAGCCATTTAAAAATGTGAGAGGGGAAAAGGACCTATGTGCACAAAAGTATTTATGGCGGCTCTTTTCGTGGTGGCAAAGAACTAGAAATTGAGGGGATGTCCATCAGTTGCAGAATGGCTGAACAAGTTGTGGTATATGATTGTGATGGAATACTACTGTGCTATAAGAAATGATGAGCAAGTGGATTTTAGAAAAACCTGGAAACACACGAACCGATGCAAAGTGAAATGAGCAGAACCAGAAGAACAATGTACACAGTAACAGCAACATTGTATGATGATCAAGCTAAGAAGACTTTGCTCTTCACAGCAATACAATGAGCCAAGGCAATTCCAAAAGACTCATGATGGAAAATGCTAACCGCATTCAGAGAAAGAACTGATGAAATCTGAATGCAGATCAAAGCATACTATTTTCACATTATTTTTTTGTATTTCGTATTTTTCCTTTTGTTCTGTCTCTTCTTTCACAACACGACTAATATAGAAATGTCATATGATTGCACATATATAATCTATGTCAAATTACTTAGCATCTTAGGAACAGGGGAAGGAAGGGAGGGAGAAAGTTTGGAACTTAAAATTTTATTAAAAAAAAGAACATTAAAGCTATATTTACATGTAATTGGAAAAAATACTATTTAAAAGAAAAAAAAATGTGAGAGGCAGTGAATAGTAGTAGGGAGAGTGACCTGCCTCAGACACCTCATGGCTGTGGATTCTGGGTAAGTCACTTAACCTCTCAATTTTCAGTGACTCTCTAAGACTATAAATTTCAGAAAAAGGTGACAACCCATCCCAGTAGGGCAAGTTTCTTTATCCAGGAGTCTCCTATAGCATAGAAATTACAGGTCTCTCTATTTCCCTCCCTATTTACAAATCTATAAGGAGCCTTAGTCTTCCTTATAAGCTCAGGAGTGTATAGAGTTCCCTTCCCTAAGCACTATGGGGGAAGAATCCTCCCTCATGCTTTGCATGATTTGGAAACTCCTGGGGCCAGAACAGTTAAATTGATAGCTCATGGTGTCTGGCCACTGGGGTGAGTCCCTGTATCCCTACTGTCTGATGATCAGCAAGGCTACTAGTATACATAACCCAAGTCCCCTGAATGCAAATCCAGCAATCTTCCCATCCTATCTTGCTACCTTTCTTGTATTTGTATCCTCAGTCCTTAGCATAGTACTAGGCACACAGCAAGGGCTGAATAAGGGCTTTTTCATTCATTCATTCATTCATTCATTCATTCATTCATTCATTCACGGATTTAGTGTTATGGCTTTAAGCCATAAGACACCAGTTACATTAAGCTACTGTCACTTTTTAATAATTCACAATTGCTAAATTAATTTGCCAGGTTGCCCAATTATTTAGCAAGGAATGAAGCAAAGGTCAAGTGGGTGAATTCTGAGACTAGGGAAGGTCTAGCAGAATGCAGGGTGGTGCCTAGCCTGTAACCACGGTTCTTCTATACCAGAGGTGGAGATTAAAGAGGACACTGAGTACCTGCATGCCCTCTGTAGGTAGAAATAACTGAGTTCAGCACATAACAGGAATAATTATGAAGATAGGCTTCTGACCATAAAGGACAACCTTTGTGTCACCATCAGGGTGGGGCAACATTCCAGGTTTCTTCCCCCATTGGGCCTTGTATTCCCAGGTTCAAGTGGGTCTGCTCCTCTGCCCACAACTGAATTTGTCTTAAAAAGCTGATCTGAGGACACCTTTCCTACTGTTTGCCCCAGACATTACTGGGTCTAGTGGAGCCTCCGAAACAGCCAAGGTGGCAGCATGATGGGACTGTGGGTTTGCAGGAAAGGAATCAGAAGGAAACTATGGAATGCTGAAAACATATTTCATAGATCTTTGAGCTGGAAGAGACCTCAAAGATTCCATTAGATTGTGAGCTTCTTGACGACAGGGATCAGAACCATGCTTTTTTGTTTTGTTTTGTTTTTTAAAATTTACTGCATTTAAAAAAAACAACAACAGCATTTATATAGTTACCTCTACCCCCACTCTCCTTTGTAACAAAAAACAGTTAAGCAAGTGAAACTGACATACTTCCACATCCCAAAACCCCATCAACCTGCGAAAAAACGTTTCATCAGTCTTCTGAAACAATATTAGTTATTTACCTTAATCTGAATTTTTTTTAGTATTTTTCTTTCCATGAAACACGTCTCTTGATTCTGCTTTCTTCACTCGACATAAGTTCATACAACTCTTCCCTAATCAGAACCATGCTTTTGACTTTCTTTGTAGCTACAGCCCTCAGTACAACGCCTGGCACATAGTAAGTGGTTAACAAACACTTTCTGACTGACTGATCCTCTACTTCAAACCTATCATTTTTTACATTTACATAGGAGACTGAAGCCTAAAGACCTGCCCAATTGAACTGACTTGCCCCAAATCACACAGACTATAATAGATCAGGGACTGGAACTCAGGGCTTCCTAGAGTGAGAAATCCTATACCGCAGAGAAATGCTAACTCTGGTATTGTTTTTCCTTCTCACTATACTAAGGGATTGTTCATAGAAGTGAGATGAACTACTTTGCCCTCAATCTGAATTGCAGTAATACCTTTAAATAGACTACTTCAGGCATTTCTTTTATGCATGTAACTCTCTTTTCTTAATGAGAAATGAATTGCATTAATTAATTATAAACACTTATTAATTGGTTAACTGTTTCATATTTTAGTCATGAAGCCAGCCCGCAGCCTACTCCCTTTCCTGGGGGACCCGGAGGTAGGGTGTGATTATGATGGTTGTTTTCCTTGATGATTTTAAGGTGTGTCTCTGAAAGAATGAGAGTCAGATGAGATTTAGAGTAACCTGAAAATACAAAATTGGGGGGCAGGGGAATGGGATGTGGAACTCTGCAATTATATTTGCATATTTTAATAAAAGAGTTATCTGGCTGCGGTAAGTATAATGAGACTTTAGGAAAAGGTTGTTGCCATTATTTGGAATATCAGTCTTTGCGTTGGCATGTTTAAAAACAATAAAAGCAATAATAAAAGCTGACATTTATATTGTACCCTAAAATTAGCAAAGTTCTTTACATATATCCACATTTGATCCTCACAACAACCTCGTGCTAGTATTATACCTATTTATAGATAAGAAGACCTGAGGGAGACAGAAGTTAAATGACTTGCCCAGGGTCATACAGCTGGTAAGTGTCAGAGGCAGGATTTGAACTCAGGTCTTGCTGACTCCAGGCTCAGCACTCTATCCACTGAGCTACACCTTAGGAACATGAATTATAATATCATATAAGTAATACTGTATTAAATTCTGTATAATGCAATAAGATTTTGATGAATTTGTGGTACCATTGATTTGGGTGTTCCCTCTAAATTTCAACATACACATACTTGCCCAGCCTGTGCTACTTTTGTCCATTTTTTTTCTGACCCTGTGATTTCATTGTTATGTGGAAATCCCAGTGAGAAAACTCCCTTTATCAGTTCAGATCTCAACCTTCTCTTCTACTTATTGTTCTAGAGAGATGCCTTAGGCACTGAAAGGTGCAGACAGGCTGGCATCCAAATCTTCCTAAAGGAGGCTGTCTTTTTACCCACCATGTTATGCTGATTATCCTACTTTTGTCTAAGTCCTCCTACACATCTCCTCCACAGTGGGGCCACGCAACATGCCAAAGACCTTTATAACTTGATGCTGTAACTTACCAATGAAATCGAGACGCCCCATAGTTATCCTTTGCCACGTAAGTATGATGCTCTTGTTAAAAAATAAGTTTTTATTGATTTTTTTATATTACCATAGTTTCCCTTGGTGTCCCTCCCTCTCCCAGAGAACCATCCTATATTTTAAAAACAGTATTTTTTAAAAGAAAAAGAAGACGAGGAAAAAGTCAATGCAGCTAATCAATGTGTTGAAAATCTGAAAACACATGCAACATATAGCACTGATGGACTTCCGCTCTCCCCAAAGGGTTCAGCGTTCAAAGCCCTTCTTAACCCTTAACCCTCCTATCTTTCCAGTCTACTCAAACCATATTTGCTGCCAGGTACTCTTCAATCCAGTGCCACTGGTGTCCGGGCTGTTCCACAAACAAGCCCCTCCATCACTCAGCTCTGGGCATTTTCTCTAACTGTTCCCCCACTTACCACTCCTCACTCCCCACCCCAACTCTCCCCTACCTCGAATATTCTCCCTCTTCTGCTCAGGCTACTGACCTCCCTGGTTTCTGTTAAGTCCCAACTAAAATCCCACCTTCTAAAGGAAACCTTCCCCACCTCCACCCAATTCCAGTGCTTTTCCTCTCTTAATTATTTCCTATCTATCCCGTGTATAGTTTGTTCTGTATACATTTGTTTGCATGTTGTCTCCCCCATTAGATTGTGAGCTCCTTGAAGGCAGGGACTGTCTTTTGCCTCTTTTTGTATCCCCAGCACTTATGCACAGTGCCTGGCACATAGTAGGCACTTAATAAATGCATTTTCACCATCACTGTCTGAAGTGTAGAGAAGTGATGTCAAACTCCAACAGAAATGGATCCTTGTGGGTCACATACTGACTTAGAAAACCATAAATTAACATTATTATGATGTATTGTGTTTGTATTTATTTTCATTCATTCAAAATTCATTTCATTATTTATTCAACATTGTCCAACTATATTTTCATCTGGTTCAGGCAGCATTCATCTGCTAGCAAATTTGGTACTCCTGGTCTAGACAAACAATACATAATCTATAAAATCCTGATTTATACATAGCTTTGTTAATTCCCCAGGCATAATTGCTCACACTGAAAATTTAACAATTAGCTCATCTGAGTATAAGCTGGCTCCTGTACATCCCTGTATGATTTGCCCAGGAAGGGATTTAAAGGAGCCCCGAAGGGGCAGAGAATGGGAATTATGACAAAGTAAGTCACAGCCGTAGGTGAAG